TGTATATCGAGTTTTTGCTAAGGATTCAGCACTATGCGAGGCATTACTCATTAACTCTAATAAATATGCATTATTTTTTAAAAGATTTTATTGATTGATTGATGAGAGACACACACACACACACACAGAGAGAGAGAGAGAGAGAGAGAGAGGCAGAGACACAGGCAGAGGGAGAAGCAGGCTCCATGCAGGGAGCCCAAGCGGAACTCGATCCCGGGACTCCAGGATCGCGCTCTGGGCTGAAGGCGGCGCTAAACCTCTGAGCCACCCGGGCTGCCCTAAATATGCATTATTAACATCTAATAATAGGTCATTTTTATTGAATACTAATATGCACCCGGTTCTAAGAAAACAGGTGTTTCTATTATCTTAATATCCTAAGTAAGGAAATGGGTGCTCCCAGGACTTGAATAGCCTAGGGTCATATAGCTAGACAGAATTAGGTCTTAATAAAGGTCTATTCTCTAGTATTTTAACATATGCTACCAACTGGCTTCTTTTCTGCCTTCAGGAACACTTAAGAATCCTGTCTTTATGGAGGGCAGCCCCGGTGGCGCAGCGGTTTAGCGCCGCCTGCAGCCCAGGGCGTGATCCTGGAGACCCTGGATTGAGTCCCACGTCAGGCTCCCTGCATGGAGCCTGCTTCTCCCTCTGCCTGTGTCTCTGCCTCTCTCTCTCTGTGTCTCTATGAATAAATAAATAAAAATCTTTAAAAAAAAAAAAAGAATCCTGTCTTTAAAAGAAAAACAAAATAAAAAAAAGAAAAGAGTAAAACAAATTCTCCTTTGACTGTTGTCCCTTTTAGCTGCTGTTCATTTTCTTCTAATGATCGTCACATTTAGAAAAGAGGTGAGGGGGGGGGGGTATGTTCACACCTGCACATCCTTTTGTAACATATCACTCCTATAATTTTGTTTAATCTAGTTTCCATTTACTCTCACCATTTCATTGAACTATCTTGGTTTATTCACTAATGGGTTGGATTTATTTAAACTTTTAAATATATTTTGTTTATTTATTTGACAAAAGAGAAAGAAAGCATAAGCAGGAAGAGCAGCAGGCAGAGGGAGAGAAGCAGGCTCCTCACTAAGCAAGGAGACAGATGCGGGGCTTGATCCTAGGACCCTGAGGCTCATGACCTGTACCAAAGGGAGCCACTGACTGAGCCACCTAGGCACCCTGGGTTGGATTTATAATTAGATTTGGATTTCTTGTTAAAACAGCTGTGCTGTACAATTTTACAAATGCTGTAGCACCTAGTACTTGGCTGAGACTAAAAGTATACTATAACCATTAGATGATAAATTAAATCAGAAAAAAACTAAAACATCAAAATAATCGAGATTTGATAATAGTCCATCAAAGCTTCCAGCAATTTTGCCAGAATATTTTTCTTAAATTTGCTATCTTGTTCTTTTAACAACTTTAATTTTGTGGTTCTGATAGAGAAAAATGCTGTAGTCATTTAAAAATATAAGGATCCTTTTTTAAGAGTCATTTTATTTTAGCAAACAGGTGATAAGCCCATCCGTCTTCCCTAAAACAATGGCTTATTTAACCATTAAGTCACAATGTATTGTGCACATTTACAATGCAAATGCTAGACTTAAATTTTTATAAAGCGTAAGCTCATAAACTGGCTTTGTTTTCCTGGCAAGATGACAGTAATATTGGACTGCTTACCATGTGCCATGTATATTACACATGAATTCACTTAATTTTTAAAACTGGTTTTTAAGGGCACCTGGGTGGCTCAGTAGTTAAGCATCTGCCTTTGGCTCAAGTCATGATCCTGGGGTCCTGGGGTCTGTGCAGCAAGTCTGCTTTTCCCTCTGCCTGTGTCTCTGCTTCTCTCTGTGTTTCTCATGAATAAATAAATAAAATCTTAAATAAAAAAACCCCCTGATTTTAAAATGGTGGTTAGAGTATGTGGGACTTTAGTGTCAAACAATCCCAGATCAAGTCCTAACTTTATCACTCGCTAATTACGTGTCCACAGGCAAATTTCTTCTTCCCTAAACCTCAAATTTCTCATCTAGAAAATAATATTTCTTTTATAGAAATATTCTGAGGATTAAATGAGAAAATATGTAAAACTTTTAGCACAAAGTCTGGCACATATTAAGTGCTCATTATGAGACTATAATTATAAGGAATTTAAGGTTTCCCTTCCTGCCCTGAATTGCCATTGGATATTGCAATTAGATATTTCATATAGGCAGATGAGTCCCCAAATACTACTTCTGTTGTATGATTCTGTGGACCACCACCCCTAACACTCTTTATGTTACTATCTCTAGAGAAAAGAAATTATTTCAGATGCTTCTAGATTGGCTGTGGTCTATTTACAAACAAAAACAAAAAATCCCAGACATCCTATTGAAGTGTGAATTCTGTTATGATTTTTTTTCATGTCGGTGGAACCCATGTAAAAACTCATTAAAGGATTTTTCCATATAAGCATAGTTTCTCCTAGTTTCCCCTTCTCTTACCTTTTCCTGAAATGGCTATTTATTTATTTATTTATTTGAGAAAGAGAGTGCTTGAGACAGAGAACAAGCAGGGGGAGCTGCAGCAGGAGAGGGAGAAGCAGACTCCTCCTGGCTGAGGCAGGAGCCAAAAGAACGGCTGGATCCCAGGACCCTGGGGATCCAGCCTGAGCCAAAGGCAGATGTTTAACTGACTTAGCCACCCAGGTGCCTCCTGTAATGGCTTATAATTTTTTATTTGCCTTGCATTCTTTTCCTCTTGCTATGAGAACTCTATTCTCTCAGTATATCTAAATAAAGAGCAAAATTTAAAACTACCTCAAGGTAGAATATGACCAAGAGTAGAGCATTGATAGCTTCTCTGCTTAAGTTCCTCTGTAACTTTCCTGCCAGTGTTTGCTGATTAACTTCAATGAATCTCTCTATTTAGGAAATTTCAGCAGTTCTTTATCTCTTCAAATTTTATATGAACTATCCCAACACATAAGGGTTTAGTGTAATAGTGTAATGCCTATACTGTGAACATATATATTTATTTATATAATAATATTTGCATTCTATTTCACAGTATATCCATGGTTGTCTAAAATAACAACACTTTTAAGTTATTTACTTAATATTGAATAAAACTTACCTCCTGGGAGATATGCCATAGTTCTTCTGTATTCTGGTACTTCCCACCCCCAAGCTTAGATGCCTCACCCCAGTTTGAGAAGCCTGACATCATTTTTTTCCATCTAGATCATAAAGCTGCTCTTACTTTGGGGTGGGGGGGGAGGGAAGATGCAGATGAGACCTCGAGCTGTCTCCCTGAGGAGGTGGGTTGGAAATAGCAGAAAGTTTTTATGGAAGTCTCAAGGTTCAGTTATCACCCATTCCTTTTTCTCTGGAGTTTGTAACACCACCAGCTCCAACTCCAGAACTGTCTTCAGTTTGGTTAGACCTTAGGATCTAAGAAGAAAGATGAGGGAGGGAAGTGAAACAGAGGAGAAGCAATTATAGAATTGATTGAATATAATTTCCTCTGCCTAGTTCTTCAGTATCTAGCCCTCTGCTGTCTCATATGGTAGCAACTAGCTACATGTGGCTGATGAGCAGTTGAAATGTGGATGGTGCAACTGAAGAATTTTTAAAGTACTGAAAGAGTGTAAAATATTTTTACTTACTACTGTTTTGGTAAGACTACATTTCACTCTGTTAGAAATTTAGCAGCTGAATTGAGATATACTGTAAATGTAAATACACACCAGATTTCAAAAACTTAGTGTGAAAAATAAAGTATGTAAAATATCATTAATTCTTATATTGATTACACATTAAAATGATATTTTAGGTATACTAGATTACATAAAATATATTACTAAAATTCATTTCATTTTGCTTATTTGTACTTCTGTAATGAAGCTTTAAAAATATAAAATTACATATGTGGCTCACAGTATATTCGACATTGCTGATCTAGCCCTACTATATCCAATCTTACTTTCCATTCCTTCCTTCAGCAGAGAAGTTTCTGAGGGTCAGGAAGGAGAATCTGTACCTAACTCCTTGAACACCAAGGGAGGCATGGCTGCCTGGGTCACTGTGAGTTATGGATTCAGAGGTTCTCATTAGGGTCTTAGAGTAGTTTCATGCTTTGTCTATGCATGCCTCCATTTCCTGTCACCTGTAAGTACTTTGACCACAAAAGTAATACTAACTAGTAATTATGTGAACTAATTACCACCAAATGGTAGTGATCGTGCATATTGTTAAATACTGATGAATTAATTTTGTTTCTGATTTTATTGGATTATAACACTGTACATTCATATACACTTATAGTCAGTCACTCAGATAATATGGTCATATACTCGCAACTTTAAAAATTAGAGCGATCAATTTACAAGGATCTCTCAAAGGACATATACCCTACATTTCTTTGCTAAAAATGTCTTTAATTTTGCAGTAAATACCAGTAAATTCTTGTTGAATAAGTGAATTTTGTAACATATCAAGGAATTACCCAGTAAGAAAATATTTTGTGTGTGGTGGGGGGATTGCTTTCAATATAAGACTTGATATGATAATAATTTAGTTCTGGAAATAGTTTGCCTTGTTCTATAAAAAATTTGAAGTGGCATATAATAACCGCATGACAAAACTATGTCAATGGAAGCAAAATTAAACATATTAGGAAAAAAAGAATATCACAAATATATTATAGACTCAGCATAGTTCCTATAATTAACTTTCAAATTTGGTTTAAGAGTCCCTAGTCAAAGCAAAATGGTATACAGGATCTTATTATTGGGAAGAGAAGGTATATCAGTTATCCAAAGGAAACAGCATTTCTAAGCACTGAATTCTAAAAGCAATTTCTTATGTGGGTCACTATAACAAATAACATTTTAGTAGCAAGTTGAGTAACATCTTATATGAATGCATCTGGTAATGTCATCCAATTAGTTGTTTTTATATAAAAATGAATAAGAGTGTGGTAAATAATTACATGTTTTGTTTTTACAGGAATCTTGGGAAAGCAAAATGAGACATAATCAGCTGTGTTGTAAGACACCACCTACTGTCACTGTTCATGTAAAATCAGGGTCAAATAGATCACATCAGCCTAAAAAACCCATTAACCTGAAGCGTCCTATTTTTAAAGATAGTTGGCCAGCATCTGAAAAAAATGCACATAATACCAACAAGTCTAAACGCCCCAAAGGACCCTGTCTAGTTATACAGCGTCAGGAAATGACTGCTTTCTTTAAATTATTTGGTAGGTTTAAAATATTTTAATAGTGGTAATTGTAAAGTACTTAAAAAATAAGAGAATCTAAAGATCTACTTTATTCTTTTCATAATAATCTAAGAGCATGTTATTTTCTATGTTAGATTCTCAGTCTCCAACCAATTTGTTTTTGTTTTATTTGAGTTGCTTTTTGTTTTTTAAAATATTTTATTTATTTATTTGAAAGAGAGCACAAGAGAAGGGAGGGTCAGAGGAAGAAGCTTGACTCCCTTTAAGCAGGGAGCCCAACTCCCCGCTAAGCAGGGAGCCTCATGTGGGGCTCAGTCCTGGGACTACGGGATCATGACCTGACCCCAAGATCAGGAGTTGCGTGCTCTTCCAATTGAGCCAGCCAGGGAATATTGTCCCTCCACATATGGGGAATATTGTTAAAAATTATCCTTTATCATCATGTTCCTATAATGAAAGTGATTTTAAATTTATTTGTTCAGATAATAAGCAATGATTTGGAATGTCAATAAGACAGCGTCATAAGACATTGCTGACAAATTTCTTAACAAGGGCAGACCTGGTGGCCCAGGGGTTTAGTGCCGCCTTCAGCCCAGGATACGATCCTGGAGACCCGGGATCCAGCCCCACGTCGGGATCCAGCCCCACGTCGGACTCCCTGCATGGAGCCTGCTACTCCTTCTGCCTGTGTCTGTGCCTCTCTCTCTCTCTGTGTGTGTGTGTGTCTCTCATGAATAAATAAATAAAATCTTTAAAAAAAAATTCTTAACAAACTTCAACAAGCAGATTCCCCACTCAGCAGGAAGCCCAATACCAGGCTCAACCCCAGAATCCTGGGATCATGACCTGAGCCAAAGGCAGATGCTTAACTAACTGAGCCACCCAGGCTCCCCTTTATATTACTTCCATTAGCCAAGAAAGGGAAGGGTTTTTTTTAGATTTTTTTTTAAGGTAAGGTAGATTAAAGAGTGGATAGACGAATTCTGGTATATATCCATAGGAATGAATCCAGTCAAACAGATATCATAGTCTGTTAGATCCAGGTGACAGGCATTAGTGTCTAAGAGAGTTGGGGACATGAGATGCTTGGGTGGCTGAATAGTTGAGCATCTGCCTTTGGCTCAGGTGGTGATCCCGGGGTCCTGGGATCAGGTCCCATGTCAGGCTCCCCGCAAGGGGCCTGCTTTTCCCTCTGCCTGTGTCTCTGCCTTTCTCTCTGTGTCTCTCATGAATAAATAAAATTTTTTTTAAAAAAAGACAGTTGGGGGCAAGAGTGTTTACCCTGCTTAAAAGACAAAAATCTTAAAAAAAGAGGGGGGGAGAGAAAAAGAAAGGGAGAAAGAAGGAAAAGGAGAACAAGCTGGTTAAGATTTAAAGAAAAGCAAAATAAGAACATGAGGTGAGAAGGAAAAAAAATGTAAGTAGTATAAGTAGGAAAATGTTGAACTACCAGGATGTTTCCTGTCAGGATCTAGAATGCTGTTAATATAAGTTTCCCTTTTCTCTTTAAGACTAGTGCAAAACTGGGCAGCCTGGGTAGCTCAACGGATTAGCACTGCCTTCGGCCCAGGGCATGATCCTGGAGTCCCAGGATGGAGTCCCTAGTCAGGCTCACTGCATGGAGCCTGCTTCTCCATCTGCCTGTGTCTCTGCCTCTTTCTCTCTGTTTCTCATGAATAAATAAATAAAATCTTAAAAAAAAAAGACTAGTGCAAAACTATTACCCACGAACATTTTTATTGTTCATAACTGATCATGAGAAATAAGAGAAAATACCTGGCTCTACCGTGTGTAATTTAAGAAATAGTTGGGTGCCTGGCTGGCTCAATCAGGGCATGCATCTGACTCTTGGAATTGTGAGTTACAACCCCACGTTTGACATAGAGTTTTCTTTTTAAGAATAGAATTAAGGCAGAAATTAATTAGTCTAAGAAAATGAGTACTTATTTTTGGAACCTTCCATATATTTGACCATATTGATGATATTTCTAGGATGTAAAAATCAGTGTACAGAAGTATGTTTTGTTTGTTATATAACTTGAAGAGGGGAATGGGCGAAAGCAGATTTTCTCAGATTATATTCTGACAACTACTCATATTTAGGGATTATATATTTTAGCCTTTTAAAATTGAATAAGTATTTTTGACCTACTTTTTACATATTTTAAAAATATTTTTGTTGATCTTTTGTCATTAATACTGTTTTTCTAAAATTAAATGTTAATTATAAATAGCTAATAAATTGTGAATCTTCTTTATATAGACATTTTCATTGATGTTTGGATAATAGATAATTGGACAGAGATAAATAAGAGGCTATCAGGAGAAAGTAGTAGAAAGAGTAAAACATATTTTTTTTCAAAGATTTTATTTATATTTATTTGTGAGAGAGAGAGAGACAAAGACATAGCCAGAAGGAGAAGCAGGCTCCATGCAGGACTCAATCCCATGGCCTCCAGATCATAACCTGAACCAAAGGCAAGATACTCAACTACTGAGCCACCCAGGCGTCCCAAGAGTAAAACATCTTTAGAAAACAAATAATATTCATTAAGCCATTATTTACTAAAGACTGCATTATCTTTTATCAGGTTCCATTTCCACCAGTAAAGGTTGATTTTTGAAAATAATAAAGAGCTAATCTAGAATTACCCAAGATATTTTTCTCTAAGAGCTATTGGGATCGTCAGGAAACCAAACCGTTCCACCATATCCCCTTCACTCTGAGCAAATCAGATGGGAAACCTGAGTAAAGCAGTAGCTCTTTGTGCAATGCTTGCAATGGTAAATACACCAAAGAAATGCAAACTACATTTTAAATAACACTACTCCAGCCATTTTTGTTTGCTTTCTAAGCATCATTTATAATCTATCTAGAAATTGATTCTTCAAAAGGAAACATTCTATTTTTAAAAAACAAGTCATAGAAATAAAAATTTAAAAAACAAGTTATAGCTATCTTTTGTTGTAGATGACGATTTAATTCAAGATTTCTTGTGGATGGACTGCTGCTGTAAAATTGCAGACAAGGTAAATTAGATAACAATGTAATCATTAAACAGCATTATTATGTTACTAGACCATCAGAACTTTTAAAAAACCTTATAGAATTTTCGGTCATATCAATTAAGGTTAGGAAAAGAACTAGCCTGTGTTGCTCCTTCAAAGTGAAATCCTTACACATTAATTTTTGAAATTAGCATACATTAGAGATTCATTTTTATACTTGAGGAATTGTAGAGTATTATTTATTAGATTTAAATGACCTTAAGTCTATATTTGTTTGAAAACAAGAATCAGTATAGACTTACTATGTTTTGATCAGAATTACTACCTTTTATCAGCCTGTAGAGAAAGAATATTCTGAACATTCTGACATTCATTCTGCTAAGGAAGTCTATTATACATTTTAATATTTTGTAGGTAACTTAGATAAAACAAATTCCAATAATTTTGTAGAGTAAAATTAGTTTATTATATTCTTTATTTAGGAATCAGTGTTTCATAAAAGATCATCTTGATGCTCATGTACATACTAGGGACCATGGTATTTCCATTCTCTTTAGATTTGGCTGGACAGTTATGATTTCAGCTTTGTAAATGCTATCTTAGACCAGGTAGTCATATCAGAAGATTCAGCATGAATTCACATCACGCTTAAATTTAATGTGCCAACCAATGGGCTAGGGATGAGTAGAAGACTAGTTTATGGTTAAATACCCATCAAGTTAATATTGATAGGAACTTTTTTATTTCAAGTTAAGGTAACAAAGATAAAATCAGAGTTTGGTTTTCTTAATTTTGGATTTTGGAAATCTAATTCTGGAAAATTTCAAATATATATACCTTGAGGTAGAGAAAATAGAACAAAGACCCTCCATGTGTCTATCATGTAGCTACAATAAACATCAATTTATGGCTCCGCTTGTTTCTTCTAATTCTTCCCAAAACTGGGTTATTTTGAAGCAAATCTCAGACATCCTAACATTTTATCCGTGAATTTTTCATGTTATACTTCTAAAATATGAGATCTTTTAAAATATATTCACAGGGATTCCTGGGTGGCGCAGCGGTTTAGCGCCTGCCTTTGGCTCAGGGCGCTATCCTGGAGACCCGGGATTGAATCCCACATCGGGCTCCCCAGTGCATGGAGCCTGCTTCTCCCTCTGCCTATGTCTCTGCCTCTCTCTCTCTCACAGTCTGTGTGACTATCATAAATAAAAATAAAAAATAAAATAAAAACAAAATAAAATATATTCACAAAGTCACTAACATTTTTAAAAAGTAACAGTAACGCCTTCATATAAAATATCTATCTATGCAGATTAAGTGCATGTGGAGTTGTAGTTTTCAACTTGAAGTGCATTACGGTAATTAAAGTTGCTGGACAGCAGGGGGCAGTGCTTTTAAAGTAGCTAACAAGCATACCATACCTTAAAACACTATTTCAAGAGTTCTCTACTGAAAGCTACCTTGAAAACTTGGACTCACCTTTGTAGTCAATCCTATGAAGGTAGAATAAATAGGTATTTTATGAGAGGGAAACAAATACATCAGTACTATAAGTCCTTTTTAATTTGGACAGATAGAACCTGGCATAGTGTCCTAATACCAAACTTGATAAATCTTTCTAATAACACATTTAAAACATTTTTTTCCAATGAAAATAGAGCCATGTTATAATTTCTGACTAGAAGTTATTTTTAAAAGATTATTTTAAAAAGTAAGTATATGAAATTGCTAGAGACTAGATCCTATGTTGTCTTAAAAGAAAAAAAGATAATTCTGTGTGATGATGGATGTGTTATGATTTTGATGTTCATTTCACAATGTATATGTATATCAAATCATCACATTGTAAACTTTATAAGCAACTTTGTCGGTTTTACCTCGACTTAAAAATTGCTCCCCCTTCAATCAGTCAATCAATAGTGAGTATGGATATCTACAATTAATGAGTCAGGAAAAAAATTTTGTAGAGATATATACATCAAATCAATGTGGCAACATACTAACATTTGGTGAATCTAGGACAAGGATGTATGGTTTTTGTAATTATTATTTCAACTTCTCTTTGGATTTGAAATTTAAGATAGAAAAAATTGAGGTTTTGGTTCAAAAAATATTGGCAATAATAAAACTTAGGAGTTCATTCTAATCTTAATCATGTTAAATGGTTCAGAACTATTTCTCACTGTATCATATAGGAAGTCAAAAAATAAGGACCCAAATATAAATAGGTAATTCTGTAATAAAGATAAATAATGCTGTATTATTTTTAGTTTATTCTTCATCTTAAAGATAACTATTTTAAAGCAGTTTTACTTATGAAAACAAAACATTAATATTAACTTTTACTTTTTTCCCTATAGTATCTTTTGGCTATGACCTTTGTGTATTTCAAGAGAGCTAAATTTACTATAAATGAGCATACCAGGATAAATTTCTTTATTGCTCTGTAAGTATGCTTTCTATAAGTGATTTTTGTGGTACTTATTCATAATATATGTATGATATCTAATTTAAAACAGAGGCTATTTTGGGGCGCCTGGCTGGCTTGGTTGGTTGGTAGAGCATGTAACTCTAGATCTCTGGGGTGGTGAGTTTGGGCCCCACATTGGGCATAGAGCCTACTTAAAGAAATAAGTAAATAAAGTTAACATTGCGACTCATAAAAAAATAAAACAGGCTTTTAAAAACCTGATATATATCTTTGTATAGGCCTTTATATGTAGAAGATATAGTGTTTTTACTTTAATATGGTATTTTTATGTTCTTTTCACTGATCTGATCTTGCTGTATGCTTAAGATTTGTTATTAAGTATTCCACTTAAGTTTGTATTGTACTTTTTCATTTTTCAGAGTGCTCCATATAAATTATCTCAAATTCTCCCCTTTTGAACTTAGATATGTTTTAAAAGCCAAAATAGTCTCTCTGAAACTTCCAGTAAATTTATAGTAAAAATCATCATCATTGCCCTTTTACATTAAACGGTTTGTGGAAAATGCTGTAGACATACTGATTGTAGGTTTATGCCTATAACATAGAAGTTATTCATAACTGATACCTTTAGTAACGACTGACTCTTACTTAACACAGTGAACTTTGACCAAGGAATATAGTTTTGTTTTCCAGTTCTTGTATTGACTTTGTGTTAGACAGTTCATATTAGCTTTGTGATCTATTAAATGGTTTTATTTACATGGCTTTCCAATCTACAGGTCAGAATTCTACTAGAAGCAATGTAGTTTAAGAAAATCTATCTCAATCTTGAAACTTTTTCTACCTACTACCTAGATAAAATACTGCAGTTGGGGATGTATGAATATAATTTTAAGTACTTAACTAGGGAACTACATATAAAAATAATTAAGGTGAATAGCACAACTATTCGCAGTGATGAATGAGTTTTAACTCAGACTTTAATTCAGACTCAGTGTGATTCAAGGAATAGGACTGGAAGAAACTGATCCCTAATTTTATTCAGAAGACACATTTCCCCATGCTGGAGGAAAAATGAACTCTATAAAATTTGGTGATGATTGATAAATTGGGAGAATATAATAGTAATAGCTAATATTGAATGTTATATGCAAGACACCACAAAAATGTTTTTTTAAATAAGCTCCTTAAATCTTACTATGAGATACATTATTTAATTATCTTCATTTTACAGTTGGTGAAATTGAGACTTAGGAAGAAAAGTACTTCTCAATCTTACAAAAGTTAGTAGTGGCAGAGCTGGGATGCAAATTCAGGTGTGACTTGCCAATGGCCAAATTCAGTGATTAACCACTAAGTTACATTGCTGTTTACATGTCTCTTTAGTATTATATTGTATCTGAATGTTCATGCAATATCTATTTTGTAGTTTTTTCCCCACTTGAAAATTAAAAACAAACCAAAGGATGCTTTAGTTTTAATTCTTACCAGATTCCCGAAATTGGATTTATTTGATGTTTTAGTAATGTTATTACCAGTGAAGCACTGTGTCAGCTTACACTATATAGTAGTATGTGCAGTTGCATTGCACATGGTATAATAAATTCCGTGTTAAAAATAACATGGATTATAACTTCCATTTTGTATCTAGTCATACTTTTTTTATAGCCTGACTCAATAGTTCTTATTAAGTATTTTCTCAGCCACAATTCTCACTCAGGTCCTTTTCTCTCCTATATATTCTTATAACACTCTGAACTTTTATTGTTATTATTCCATATTCTCTTGCACAGTTGTTTGTTCCATACTTAGTTGCCTCTTCTACTTGACTGTAGGCTTCTTAAAGGCAAGGAATGTGTATCTAACTTTTTTTTTTTTTGCACCCTTTAACATATGGATGTTCTTAATTCTTTATTTGGATAAACATAATTAACTATTACGCCAAAAAAAATGGACTCTGCTCCAAGAAAATCTATTTCAGACTAGAAGTTGACTTACATGTATACAATATAGATATTTTATCACACTGATCCTGAAAAATTGTTAATCTAGAATAGAATCACAATGGAGTTCTGATTATAGATTTTATGTGTTTCCCTTAGTCAACAGGCATGCTAAAAGGCCAACCTCTGGCTTCTAGAAGTCTACCCTTAACTAAGCCCCATCAGGGATAATAAAGTAAGAAATTACTTGATGTAATTTTACAGAGGACATTATATAATCCATGTAACCGAATGGGTTAAGCAATGAGGTGCTTTATATTAAGGTAATATTAAAATATGTACAGATATTTTAAGGGAAGTTAAAGTAATAGGTGCTAACTTTATATTAATATAACCAAATTGAATATGCATATAGTTTTTTTAAAAGACATAAGTGAGTATACAATTTAAAGTAAGTCTCCCTCATATCTCAAGGCCTTAACATCCTTCTTCGAGGACCATTAAGGTTTCACATGTATCTGTCTAGAAATAACTTTGTGTACATGACCCAGTGTATGTATTACCTGAATAGAAGTGTACTATATACTTCTGTGCCTTTTAAAAATTTCTAATGTGAGATCTACAAAGGAAGTGTATGGGGTATGTATATGTATGTTTGTTGAAGAAAAAGGCAAAACAAATATTCGTGTACCCATGACTCAGCCTAATAATAGAACATTGCCAGAATCTTAGAAGCTCACAGTACACAGTTTCCCAGTTAGTACTGCTTCTTCTCACAGATAGTAATTTTCTTGATTTTCTATATTTTATGTATAAACCTCCAAATAATATATTGTTTCGTTTTTCCTGTTTTTAATCTGTATGTAAAATAATCATATGTGCTGTTCTCCTGTAACTTCCTTCTTTTGCTTTATGATTTTGAAATTTGTTAATATTGACGTGTATAGGTCTGGTTCATTTTCACTGCACAATAATATTCTATTATTGCTTATATATTTTCTTTTTCTTTTTTTCTTTTTTTACTATCTTGTCTTTATGTCCCACTTTTTCTGTTTCTTCTTCCCACTCCATTTTTATCTTTTTCATTGAGATTTTTTAAATTTTTATTTTTTGATTCTTTTTTCCTCTACTTGTTTGGAAATTATGCAGTCTATATCTGTTTTTTTTTAGCAGTTATCCCAATTACTTATTTTTTTTAACTTACTAGATAACCAGTTTTGTTATAAAAGGATATAACTCAAGAACAGCCAGATTGAAGATGCATAGGGCAGTGTATGGGGAAAGGGCATAGAGCTTCCATACCCTCTCAGTGTATCTGATCTCCATGTGTTCATCCACCAGGAAGCTCTATCCCAGTTATTTTTTAATCAAGAACTTTAAGTATTTTAACTCCAGTCACCCCCTTCTCAACTTATATTCTCTTGTTTTACAATTCTGTAGTTCTACAGGAAACTCTCCAAAAAGTTAGAGACATATTATTGTCATTGTTTTATACATCAAATATTTATTTAGATTTACCCACATATTTATATCTTTGCTTACTATTCCTTCTTGCATCTCAAACTTTCCACTTAGGATCATTTGCCTTCCTTTATTATGCTTTTACGATCTTTTATCCTTTAATGTCTGTCTACTTCAGTTTCTTCACACTTCAGGGTCTGTTTCTGTTGATGGTGCCTTGTTCTTTTAGGCGTTTTGTAATTTTCTTATTGTAAGTTGTCTATTTTTCTTGGAAAGTCATCTATAGGGTTTTCATTGTTTCTAGTGGAAAATTTCTATCTGTATCTGTGTTTCTGTGTTATCTAACTTGTCTTTTTTTTTTTTTTTTTTTTTTTTTGCCTGGCTGCTCTTAAGATTTTTTTCATCACTGGTTCTGAAGAATTTGATTATGATGTGCATTGGTGTAATTTTATTTATATTTTGTGCTGTGAGCATATTTTTTTCATTGAGCTTCTTAGTATTTTTATAGTTTTAATCAAATTTCAAAATTTTTCAGCCATTGTTTCTTCAAATTTTTTTGTCCATCCAATGCTCATTAGGGACTCCAGTTTCACCTTTATTAGACTACTTGAAGTCTCATAGCTCACTGATGCTCTATTATTTTAGTTTCTTTTCGTGTGTGTGTGTTTCATTTTGGATAGTTTATATTGCTGTCTTCAGTGCACAAATCTTTTCTTCTGCAATATTTAGTCTATTAATCCTACTCTATGTATTTTTCATTGTACATGTAGTTTTCATCTCTAGAAGTACACTTTGAATGTGTCTCCTTATCTTTTTGAACATCTGGAATAAATACAACTGTTTTAATGTCCTTGTCTGTTTAATGTCTGTTATTTCTAACATGTATCAGTTTTGATTGAGGATTCTTTTTATTTTGGGTCATGTTTTCCTGCTTCTGTATATGCCCAATCCCCCTCAAGTGTTTAGGAGGATATGGATTTCCATATGTCTATAAGGAAACTACTTGGGTGAGGGGAAAGATCATAAGAAAGGATTAGAGGGAACAATGCTTAACATTTCCCCAGGACTGGAAATAGTGCTTGTTCTCACCAGCCAGACTGAAAAAAACTCATAATTCACAGGATATTGAGTACAGTACTCAGGAATGTCTTACATCAGTAGTGGGGAATAATTAGCCCCAGTCTGAACATTGCTCCAGATCCTCCTAACAAATCATAAAAGCAAGACCTGAAAGGATCACACTGTTTCCAAGTAACTTAAATGCATCTCAGAACAAAGTTCAAGATTTATAGGAATACAAAAATATCCAGAACTCAACAAGGTAAAATTCACTGTATTTCTATTTTTTATCTATATTTCCTTAATTATCAGTAAGGTTGAACATCTTTTATGTGTTTACAAGTGATTTTCTGTGTATGTTTGTGTATGTGAACTGCCTGTTCCTGTTCTTTTCCTACTTCTTTTTTGAGTTATTGGTCTTTTTTGTTAGGTATCTGGCTAACACAGTTGAAGAAGATGAAGAAGAATCCAAATATGAAATTTTTCCATGGGCTTTAGGGAAAAACTGGAGAAAATTGTTCCCTAATTTCTTAAAGTTAAGGGACCAACTCTGGGATAGAATTGACTATAGGGCTATTGTAAGCAGGCGATGCTGTGAGGAGGTAAGATTTTTTAAATACTTTATATAGGTAATCTCTGTTTTCTCTTTATGTAATTTCTCTTGTCTTATTTTTAATGTGCTTCTGATATTTCATTTTTTATATATGTAAGGGTAGACTATTAACCCTGGTTAATGGTTACCATGAATACAACTTGTATACTACAATGTTGATGTTTTAATATACCACAATAATTTAAAATTGTCATTTCTGTTTTTCAGAGCAGCCTACTTCTATAGTAAGTATTTCTATTTTAGTATGTTTCTCTGGTCTAAGAGATCAGAAATAAATTGGGAAAGAACAGTATGCATATTCCAAAATATGTTAATAACATTTGGAGCTGAATAATAATTTCCATTAAACAAAGTATGTGAAATTTCGAGTTCCCAAGATTGAAATGCAAACTGTATGCTAAAAATTTTAAATAAATTTAAATATGTTAAAAATAGTACCTCTTTTCACATAGAATAATATATAAGGTAAGTTTTCTTGATGCCAGATTCTATTAAGATAAAACAGAAAGACACTAAAAATAAAAAGATAGGTTATTTTGGGAAATAAAAGCAAAAATGAACTATTGGGACTTCATCAAGATAAAAAAACCTTTGCACAGCAAGGGAAACAATCAACCAAACCAAAAGACAACCTACAGAATGGGAGAATATATTTGCAAATGTCTTATCAGATAAAGGGCTAGTATCCAAAATCTATAAAGAACTTAAACTCAACACCCAAAGAACAAATAATCTGGTCAAGAAATGGCAGAAGACATGAACAGACTTTTCTCCAAAGAAGACATACAAATGGCCAACAGACATGAAAAAATGCTCCATATCATTTGGCATCAGGAAAATACACATCAAAACCACAATGAGTTACCACCTCACACAAGTCAGAATGGCTAAAATTAACAAGTCAGGAAACAACAAATATTGGTGAGGATGTGGAAAAAGGGGAACACTCTTATACTGCTAGTGGGAATGCAAGCTGGTACAACCACTCTGGAAAACAGTGTAAAGGTTCCTCAAAACTTAAAAATAGAACTACCCTACTACCCAGCAATTGCACTACTGGTTATTTACCCCAAAGATACAAACATGGTGATCCCCAAAGTTACAAACATTGGTGCGCCCCAATGTTTATAGCAGCAATGTCCGCAATAGCCAAACTATGTCCACAATAGCCAAACTATGGAACATCTAGATTTTCATCAACATATGAATGGATAAAGAAGATGTGATATATATATATATATATATATATATCACATACACACACACACACATACATATACACACAATGGAATATTAGCCATCTAAAAATATGAAATCTTACCATTTGCAATGACATGAATAGAATGAGGGTATTATGCTAAGTGAAATAACTCCATCAGAGAAAGCCAGTTATCATCTGATTTCATTCATGTGGAATTAAGAAACAAAACAGGATCATAGGGGAAGGGAGGGAAAAATAAGACAAAATCAGGGAGGGAAAGAAACCGTAAGAGACTCTTAACTAGGAACCAAACTGAAGGTTGCTGGAGGGGAGAGGGGTTAGGGGTCGGGGTGGTAACTGTGATAGGCTTTAAGGAGGGCATGTGATGTAATAAGCACTAGGTGTTTTATATAGCTGATGAATCACTAAACTCTACCTCTGAAACTAATAATACACTATATGTTAATTGAGTTTAAATCAAAATTATGAAACAAAAGATGGGTTATTTTATCTAATGTTCTGGTTTCCAATAAAGAAAAATGTTAATGGTGCAATCTAAAGAAATATTCTAGAGTAGAAAATTAAATAGTAAAAAAAAAGAAAAAAGAAGAAAATTAAATAGTGGGCAGTGATCATTGTAAGCCAATACTAGTTTAGTAAAGTTTGGTAAAATGTGAATTAGATAATGCTGTAATGAAATAAAGTCATAGCTAGTAAATGATGATAGGCCAAAAGCCAATTAATGGATTAGTGTCAAACTTCAGGAAATATTTTGAGGGTATGCCCAGAATTAAACTTGTTAATTATATTTATTAATAAGATGAAGATATTAGAAAGCATGCATAGTTGTAGATTAAATTAAGAGGACTGTAGAATGTTGGGGAAATGAAAGGATTCAAAAACAACTTAGAAGACTGAATAGCAGGTGAGGTTTTTTCAGGATTGAATTCATTAAGAAAATACGAAAAATTGGTTATGTATCTCACCTTCCCCAAATTAATGGATCCTCATTAAAGGATTTAAACAATTCATTCTAAATTAACAGGGCATTGGAAGAGCCCTGCATTGCTATTTTTTTATCATTCCCTCCCCAGGTCAGGAGTGGGTAATTTGTGAACCTATGCCATCCTTGGACATGATAGTAGGTCTTATTGGAACACTCTGATATTTTTTCAAAGTAAACACTTCAAGCCCCACGGCACTTAGCTAAGAGCATGGAGTGGGTACCAGAGGCAAGAGGCGGGGATAGGTAATGCTCACCTCATGGCAGATTGCCCCCCCCCCCATTCCTAAGATAGAACAACTAGTGCTATAACTGCAGCAATTTAATTTACACAATTGGAGCTGGGATTACTTCAGTTACTGGCATCAGACTTTTAAGCAGCCAGAGAATGGTACGGCTTAATGGTGTATATGTAAAAGACTAAAAAGTTTTAGATAGCTGTAAACTCAGTTATGTAATGGGATTTATAGAAAAGTTGAGTCTCTCAAGGCTTCAACACTGACAACAGATCTCTCCCCTAATTCTAGATGTGCTTATCAAATTTCCTATCCTATTTCATTGTCTAGTAGATACCTCAAATTTAACATGCTGAAAATCCAGTTTATGATTCCCTCACATAGAACTCAAACTTAACTCCTCCTGCAATCTTCTACATGTTAATAAATGGTAACTTCATCATTCTAATTGTTCAAGCAAAAAAAACTGTTGCCCTATACTTTTCTTATAGCCATACCTTAAAAAAAAAAAAATATAGCACCCTACCATTTCTCACCTCCTCTACTACTAAGCCCTACTTTGATTGTCCCCTTGTGCCTCAATTATTGCCATAACTTTCCAAGTAGTCTCATAATCTCTCTGTCCTGTAGTCTATTTTCATACACTAGCCAGAGTAAATCTTTCAGAAGTAAGTCAAATCATGATTCCTCTACTTCCAAGTCCCCAACAGCTTCCCATCTCACATAGAATAAAAGGCAAAACCCTGGGGTACCTGGGTGGTTCAATTGGTTAAGCCTCTGCCTTCGGCTCAGCTTATGATCCCAGGTTATGACCAAGCCCTGTATCAGGCTTCCTGCTCAGTGGGTAACCTGCTTCTCTCTCTGCCTTTCCCTCCTGCTCTGCTCTCTCTTGCTATCTCTAGCTCTCTCTCAAATAAATAAGTTTTGTTTTTGTGGGGTTTTTTTAAGGAAAAATCTTATCATGGTTCTAACTGGTCTGCCAACTCTAATCTTTTTTACTTTGTCTCACTTCCCTCCAAGTATACTGGCCTCCTTGCAGTTCTTCAAACACAATAAGGACATTCCCACCTCAGGATTTTTTTTACCTGGAATGCTTTTCCCCCAGATATCATTATGCTTCACTTCCTCACTTTATTCAGGACTCTACCTAAATTTATAATCTCAGAGAAACCTTTCCTTACCACCCTGTATCTAGTAGTATCTCCTGGAATGGAATAAAATTGAAGAGTCCAGAAATAAACCTTCATTTTTATGTTCAATTGAATTTTGACAAGGGTACCAAGAAAATTCAATGGAGAAATGAGTCTTTTCAACAAATGATGCTAGGACAACTGTATATCCACATGCAAATGAATGCCATTGGACTCCCATTTCATATCATATATAAAAACAAACTCAAAATGGATCAAAGACCCAAATATAAGAGCTAAAAACTATAAAACTCTTTATACATAGGGGTAAATCTTCATTACCTTGAATTAAGTTTCTTAGAGATGATGCCAAAAGCACAAGCAACAAAAGAAAATAGAGATCATCATCAAAATTGAAAAATTGCCCTTCAAAGAACACCGTGAAAGTGAAGAGACAAAATACAAGTGGGAGAAAATTCTTTCCAATTATCTGTCCAATAAGGGACTTGAATCTAGAGTAGATAAAGAGCTCTTACAACTCAGCAATAAAAAGACTACTCAATTTTTAAAAGGGTAAGGATCTGAAAAGGCTTTTCAAAAGAAGATATACAAATGGGCAAAAAAGCACATGGAAAGATGCTCAACATCATTAGCCATCAGAGAAATGCAAAATCAAAACAACAAGGAGATATCACTTCACACCCACTAGGATGGTTATCGTGAAAAAGACAAATATAAAAAGTATTGGTAAAGATGTGGAGGAAATGGAACCCTCATACACTTCTGGTGGGAATTTAAAATAGTGGTTGGAAAACTGTAGCAGTTCCTCAAAAGGCTAAACGTAGAGTTATCATTACAACCCAGCAATTCCAGTTCTAGTTATATACACAAAGGAAATGAAAGCTATATCCACACAATAACTTGGACATGAATATTCATAGCAGCAACATTTGTAGTAGTCAAAAAGTGAAAACCCAAATGTCCAGTGAACGAATGGATAAACAATACAGTATATCTATACAATGATAGATTACTTGGCAATTAAAAGGAATGAAGTACTGATAACACGCTACAACATGGATGAACCTGAAAACATTATGCTAAGTGAAAGAAGTCAGTTATGAAAGGATCACACATTTTATGATTCCATTTAAATGAACTGTCTAAGAGAGACATCCAAAGATATAATAAAGTAGATTAGAAGTTGCCAAAGGCTGAGGGGAGGGAGAAAATGGGGCATGATTTCATTTTTTATGGAGTGATAAAAATGTTCTAAAATTGACTGTGGTAATGGTTGTACAACTGAATATACTAAAGCCATTGTATAAGTGGGTGAATTGTATAGTATTTGAGTTATACCCCAATAAAGCTGCTAAAATAACAAGTAGTACCTCCCACTATTCCTTTGTATTCCTTTTC